ATTTAGGTCGGTTTTTGGTATTTTTGTTTTGGAGGGCTTGCAGTCCACTTAGGGAGTCGGTAAGTATTAGGATTTTTTTGTGGTTTTTGGATTCTTGATTATGGAGGGCTGAGGCCATGCCCATTAGTTCTGCCGTGAATATTGATTGGTTGTTTGGGAGTCGGAAGGATTGTGTGGTTTTAGTTGGTTGTGTGGTATGGACTCCGAAACCTGTGTGTTTGGAGGTCGGATCTGAGGATCCGTCCGTGTAAATGTGACACCAATTTGGCCAATTTTCGTGTATGTATGCTAGTGTGGTAGTTTTAGCTATGTTTGGGTCGGTTTGTTTATTTATTTGGCTAGCTAGTGTTGTGTCTATTTTGGGTATTTTAAGTTTAGGGGTGAAGATATTTGATTGTTTGCAGTTTTGTTTAAGATTTTTAATTTGGTGTTCATTTAGGTAGTTTGTTATTCTTTGGGATATTGGGGTAAGTAAGGGGTGTTTACGAGCTAGAGCTTGGTTTTTGGGGCTGATGTTTTGGTTTATTAAGTTTTGGATGAGAGGGTTTGATTGGGACGCGGCCCAGAAATTTAAGCTTAGCTGTTCCCTGCGTAGACTTAGTGGCATTTCTCCTGTTAAGGCCTGAAGTGAGGTGTAGGAGGTGCCATGTTGGGTGCGTGTAATTAGTTTGAGAGCCTGATATTGTATTGAGTCAAGTTTTTTAGATAGAGAGTTGTTTAGGGTGTTGTATATGGCGCAGCCGTAGTCTAGATTTGATCTAATTAGTGATATGTAGAGAGAGAGGAGGGTATCTTTGGATGCTCCCCAGTTAGAACCAGTTAGGCATCTTAGGGTGTTTAGGTCTTTACTGCATTTAGTTGTTAGGTTTTGGATGTGAGCATCCCAGGTGAGATGTTCATCGAAAATAAGTCCTAAGAATTTGGTTTGTTTTTGAAATTTGATTGTTTGATTGTTTAGCTGGAGGATTGGGGAGGCGGGTTTCATGTTTTTATGTTTGAATACTATTCCTGTTGTTTTTTCTGAGTTAAGGGAGAAGCCCCATTTGTCAGCCCACTGTTGTATTTTATTAAGAGATTTTTGGAGTAAATTTTGGACCATGTTCATGCTTTTAGTGCGGATCCAGATGGCTCCATCATCCGCGAATTTTGATGTGTTTACTTTAGGGGATAGGCCCTCGAATAGATCGTTTATCATTATATTGAAGAGGGTGGGGCTGAGGATACTGCCCTGTGGAGTACCATTTTCTAGGGGACATTGGTCCGATAGAGTTTGGTCTATACCCACGGTTATTTTACGATTGTTTAGGAAGTCCTGGATGTAGTTTATTATCTGACCTTTGAGTCCTATTTTTTTAAGTTTTTGTATTAGCCCATCGTGCCATACCATGTCGAAAGCTTTAGAGAAGTCTAAGAAGATGCCTGTGGTATATTGTTTATTTAGCTGTCCTGTCTTAATATCTTGTTCTAGTCGGGTGAGGTTATCTAGGGTTGAGCGGCCAGGAGTGAAACCGCTTTGATCTGGGTTTATGATGTTATTTTGGGTTAAGTAATGTTGTAATCTATTTTTAGCCATTGATTCCATTACTTTACATAAGTTTGAATAGTTCCATATTGGCGGATTTATTTGTTGTAATGTAAGGGCAGAAATAGCATCAGTTATTACTGACAAATATCCCTTGTAAAACCTTTCAACATTTTCAAATGACACATCGAAAAGCCATTGTGAAAAATAGTAATCTGACAGCACCATGTTAGGATTCTTAAATACAGTTTCAGCTTGACATTGAGTACTTTAAACTTTAAAGTGAAAAATACATTCACAACAAGTGAGCTGTGTCTGCCAATCAGAGTCGGTGAGTAAATTGGAGTAGGGGACTAATTTCGAAGGTAAACTTGTTTCAACGTTTAACAACTACATGTATTTGTGTTTGTATGAGACGATGTGTGTTTAATTCCATATATTTTACTTCAAAGCATGTTATCACAATAAATTGAGTCGGGTATAGGATAAGTTGGAGTAGAGGCTAATTTCTAATGTAAACTTGTTTTAACATTTCACAATTATTGGTCTTTGCAAGTTATCAATCCAAGTTTAATTCATTTATTTTACCAAGGTAAAAATAAAATAAGGTATCATTTTCGTCAAGTAATAATCGCCGTTTTCGCTTTCGGCGAGTATTTCGCCAGTCAGTGCCGTTTTGCTAAGGTGTCGTTTCAGCTATAACCCGCTTATTGCACATTATAAGTTTCAATTTATATTTAAAATCATTTTAACCACTGTAATAAGTAAAAAATAAAATAAAAGCATATAGAAAATAAACAAGCACTTGTTATAAAATGTGCATCCGCAGGCAATATTTATAAGATAATCCTGCATGTAGCTGTGGCCATCACACTGAAGATGCACTTCACTTCTTTCTCATGTGCCCAAATTACAATGATTTAAGACAGAATATGTACTATTATGTTAAGGGATATGATCTAAATTCAATTCTATTAGGTAATCCTGAAAGGACGTCAAAAATAAACTTAGAAATTCTTAAATCAGTACAAGACTCCATTCAACTATCCAATAGGTTTTGTGATTTTACATAGCATCTTAAATTTATAATACTATTCCTTGCCGTATATTGCAGTACACTATTACTACTAAAAATGCAACCTGACAGCGCCGACAACGTAGTTTCTATAATAAGAACATGTATATAATTGTATTCCTTGACTGTACTTTTGTCATATCATATTGTATTCTTATTCTGGAGCGGTATTCAAATAAGTTTTTGCTCGTTTACCCATCCAGTTCACAAGTTGTGAAATAAATATGTTTAAAACAATATTTAGTAAACAAATAATTAAAACTTATGCAACAACATAGTGTGTGGAGACGATAGACCACTGAAAAGAGCATATAGATGCACATCCAATGACCCCTGACATCACAAGGCATTGTTTTGCCAGTGTGTCAGGCAACAGAATACTACGAATTACACCACAGGGTACTGTGACCTGTTTAAAAAGTTTGGTGCTGTATTCTAAAGGTAGGCCCAAAATTCTAGACAATCCAGTGATTGATATTGTGAACATCAATCCACACTGTTAGACGGTTACTGTCAGATGCCATGAACCAGGTCACCGAGCCTGATCACCTGATCTATTAGGTTATCTCTTATGGGTGAGGCTAAAACGGCACCTCGGCAAAATGTCACTGATTTCTCGGACGAAAACAGCACCTTGTTTTGGCAAAAAGGGCTACTAATTGTTGTCTGTTATCTGGAGAGACATGTTGATTCCTGGCCGAAAAATATATAAATGAAATTTCTATAAAATTACTATTTATTTCCTACTTACTAAAATAAATATGACATATATAGTATACCTGTTGTCCAGTTTCTTGACATTTTCGCCAGACTCAGTTTCAGCTTGACATTGAGCTAATCTGAGTAAAGCTACTTAAGACTTCAAAGCATGTGATCTTTCAATGATAAGTTGCACCTCCCAATCAGAATCATGAGTAAATTTGAGCAGAGGCTAATTTCTAATGTAAACTATTTTTTGGTGATTAACATCTAACAATTATTTGTGTTTGCAAGTTTAATTGCATTTATTTTACTTCAAAGAAATCAAAGCATATTATATTTTCACAATAAGTTTAGTTGCATCTCCAAATCAGAGTCGGCGAGTAGATGCTAGTTTTTAATGTAAACCTTTTTGAACATTTCTTAGTTATTGGTGTTTACAAGTGACCATGAAAGTTTAATTTCATGTATTCGGGCATATTCAGACCCAAGGTAAAAAAAATAACAAGGTGCTGTTTTCACCAGGCAATAGTAGGCAAGGTGCTATTTCCCTTTTATAGTATAACCCTCTCTTACAACTAGCATAGGTTGATGGGGACCAATTCCAACCCGGAATCCCCACATGAGTGGGTATGGTTTTACGCTGTTTTTAGCAATACCACAGCAAGGGACACCTGACATAGACTTCACACATTGTCCCCATGACAAGAATCGAACCTTTGTCTTCAGCACTTCAACCACTAGGCTACCCCACCGCCAAAATTACCAACATGATAATGTTGTCATCACGGTATTCTTCAACAAGTTCAAGTGAAAATATCCATACCTTTCAAATGTCTTATCTTCCACTTCACAATGTTCACTGTTGCAAAACTCCTGTCATTTAATTTGTTCTTGATTCTTCACACCTGCAAAAGTAAGTTTAGTCGGTACGGTATGAACTAAAAAAATGAGACACTTTAGAGTATCTAGATAAAGGAATATAAGTAAGCAAACATATTTCTACATGATATACATTAGCAAGGATTAACATAAGTTAGGTAGATTGCTTATCTTACAAAAATTAAATCACACATTTACTAACATATATAAAACAGAATAAGTGGCTTACAGAAGATAAATAACTTTAATACGTGATCAATATTATTAACATATTCCTTACCTGAATCAGAGACCATATAACAGTCTATGTATTATGGTCTCTGTCTGAATATGTCACGTCTTCAGCTCCCTGCAATCGAGGTTGTGAAACATTTCTGCTGTAGGAATATTACATCCGCTGGGATATCCCTTGTCACACTGCCTGGCATGGTAGGCAAACGCATATTCCATACACCACATAGATATACTTCCTAACACACACTGTCGAAATCTCCGCGGCTCCCAATATGGCCTGTATGAACTGTAATCGGCCAACCTCGTCTCTTTCCGTAACTGCTGCAGAAATGACCGCTCGTCATTCGTGACCAACTCGTGTTATTCCGGGACAAGCAAGTCTACCCATAACTCCCTGTATGACCGAGGGCGCCATTTTGGAACACAAATGTAAAGAAACACTTAAACCTCGTGTAATCGATGTACACCGTGATGCTTGATTGCGATATGCTTACCTCGTGTATCAATACATTGTTCTCAATCACCTCTAACACGGAAATCCCGGTCGAAATCCACCTGAGCCATCCAAAACGAGGACGTCAAGTATTTCGAACACTCGATTGGCAGCCGAAGGAAGGAAGAGCAGCTTGCAGATGCCAGGTACGTAGCAGGGCTTCGAGACATAATGTTCCATGATTTCTATACAGAGATCTTATGGAATGGATTGATTAAGATATTTTCCTGATCTCCATGTTACTACTGTAAACGTCAAGGGCCTTTTAGTTTTGTTGTTTTCGGAAACCCTTAGTTATTATTATGATCAAGTGTTTGTTGTGACATGGTATTTCTATTTGGGCTTGCATAAGAGCTACAGGTGCAGGACTTTTAAGGGTCGTGTCCTTATTCTCATAACGCTAGGATTTGATGATGAGGGTTAGTTACCAAGGGTATAAATCTGGCAAAGTGCATGTCAAACAAAATGTGGCTTCAATTCAAATCATGTGTTGCCACCTGAACCGCCTGAAAGTGAGATATGGATCACAATGAATAATGACAGCTTATCAATCTTTAACAAATTCACACTGAAACATTGAAAGGATAAAGACAAATTAGTTGTTTTCTGTTTCAGCATGTTCAGGGTTTGTGGGGAGGTTCACAGACATCCTCAGGGAGGATACCAAGTATTGAGTGAGTATTTTTGTTTGTGATAATACAAACTATATGTATTCATCATGGAATATTTCAATGCAATGTGAAACATCACACTCACAATAGTCCAGCTCTGTGATGGCAGCCTGTAAATACTTGAACATGGACCAGGCAATCTAGTGATTGTTATTATCAGCAAAGATCCATGCCCTCAGAGTATGATGACAACCTAGTCTGACCACCCAATTCATTAGTTGATTAGTGTTTGCAGCGGTAGGAACTAACACTTTTAGTCCACTAGTCCTAAAATGATAGCATATAGCAAAACCTTTAAAATGTCAAAGTGACTAGTGCCAATTTCTAACCCTCGTGTTTGGATGTTGTGTTTGTGTGTGTATGTATGAGTGTATTTAGGTTGGTTTGTTGTTTAACACCGCACTCAGCAATATTCCAGCTATATGACGGCGGTCTGTAAATAATCGAGTCTGGACCAGACAACCCAGTGATTGATATCATGAGCATCGAGCCACGGAATTGAGATCAATGACATGCATTAACCAAGTCAGCGAGCCTGACCACCCGATCCCGTTAGTCCCCTTTTACGACAAGCATAATGGCCTTTTACGGCAAGCATGGGTTGCTGAAGACCTATTCTACCCCGGAATCTTCACGGGTCCAGTGTATCTAACTTAAATCATGAATCTTATGCTTGTTTCTCCGTGCTTTTACAATGTATCCCAAATTTTCTCGGGAATAATAAAGTATTCTCTTATTTATATCATTTCTGAACAAAGTGTCATATCAAGGTTAGATCTCTGTCAAAACAGTGCCATGGAAAAGCCAAACAAATAGCCTAGAAATAAAAGTAAATACTGCATTGCAATACAAGTTATTTCCTATGTAACGTATGTGTTGAATGACCCTGACTTTGTTGTCAAAATATTGTTCTGACATTTGTTAAATATGGGGATAAATGTCATCTCTGAATGTTTGACATGAATTATTATGATTAGGGTAGTTCTAAGTCGGAATCACAACCGGGGTCTTTTCATTTGAATCAAATGTACAACATGTACAGTTTGGACATTTTTCTGTGATGTGAATGCTACTTATGTTTGTAGAATGTCCGGATGAATAAAAGAGACAGTCATCTGTGCAGCATCAATGCAAAGAAAGACCATAGAAGAGCAACAGTGAGTGGTAAATATTTTGAAATTATTCTGTTTGGTTCATATGGTTATTTTGCAAATATGTCTTCAGTTTGTTCCTGTGCAGAGTTGCATCTCTTTGGCTTAGCAGAAACCTATAGTCATGGGTTCAAATCCTGGTTCTCCCCGATTATGTTGCTAGGTTTGTCAGCATTATACACATGCTCGTGGGATTCATCAAAGACCTGCATTACTTAGGGCTTTCTTCCCACATCAAGCTAACATGCGGTGATATATCTGGAATACTGTTCAAAGCATTGTTAAAGCCAACTCATTTATTTGACACTGCATCCAGCAATAGTTTGACTATATGACAAGGATTGTAAATTTATATTTTTCCATGTTGATGAGTTGGAACAATCACTAAATGACATCTCTTAAAAAGATTCCCAGCATTCCAAGCCTAATTAATAGATAAGATAGTGATTGAGTAGGCTCATTGATCGCATGTAATCATACCACAGTGATGTGGGATATTGTCCATAATAGTTATCATCGGTTTGTCTGGACCGAGTTCATAACATTAGTCACTGGTTTGTCTGGTTGAGATTTGAGATGTGATTATCTTAAATGTTTAGCATATAACAAGACTCACATATGACAACTTGAGTGATTTTGCTGCCTTCTATCTGTAAGTACATGTGGCAACAATTCTTTTTGATTGCTAAAATCTTTTTACATAATGTTTCAGAAACTGAAGTCCTGCTTGAGATCCCTGGATGAGTACTCCAGGTTTACAGTCTGGAAGGACGAGACAGGGGAGTCCTAAACAGAGGCTGCACCCCTTCAGATATCAGAGGTGATTTGCAGACAGGGATGACGAGGGTCCTGTTATTTCAATGGAGGCTGACCGAGAAGTTGTATGCTAAATGGTACTGGGACACACAAAGGCTGGTCTGGCTAATGTGAGAAGAGCAACCAATGCCAAGCTGGAGTGGAATACTTCCAGGACATTCAGGAAATTCTTGTCTTGAGCCATATGGTAAACACTTGAAAGGAATGATAAATGGGACTTATTGTCTTTAAATGTGGACCCAAACACCAAATGGAAAGTTCACAATTCTACTAACACAATGCAGCAGAGATAGAGTCTAACTGGTATCCCCTCATCCTGGTTCCTGTTCATCCATGGCAATATAGAAAGAAAAGGAGGATTGAGGGAAAGTAAGTTCTCTGAACTGGTGAACATAATCCGTAGGTACTGTCAAGCGAACAGTTATTACACTCTGTTATGAGTATTGAAGAATATGATGAAATTGCATACTGCTTCAGGAACCATCATGTGAACACTGTTCAATGTGCGATATACTATAGGCATATGAATAAAAGAAATTGATAATTTGATTGTTGCTTATGTTTCATTTGCAAGCTGTGTAAATGGGGATGTTTCATAATTTTGCCTCAGTTTAATCATGTTAATAGCCACACTTATCTTATGAAACCATGCATTGCTTGGGCATCTCAAGATAAATAACACATGTTTCCTTTGCTCTGAAAACGTCTGATGACACATTGATCTGTTATGTCAAAGGTCAAAGTGACAACCAGACAAAAAGTTTGTTTGTGGTCTAACTCTTCCTTTGGACAGGGGTCGAAGTTGGAAAAAGGTCGTGTGTGATCTATATATACTACATTTTCCCCTAAATTGCCTTTTCTGCAGAAGTCTTAGTAACTCTTATACATATACTGGTTACATTACTTCCATATTTTGGTCATTGATATGTTGAATTCTACCAAAGGACTGCATATTTGGTTTATGTGCTGGATAGCTCTTTGAAATGTTTTTGAAATATTTATCACTGATATTGAAGGTCAAATTGACACTCAAAAGTGATAACTCTTGAAGGGTTGAAGTGTAAGATCAAGGCAATAGTTAAAAGGGGTCATTCATAAAGTATTTCTGCAATTATAACTAAAATGCCTATTTCTGGAGATATTTGTGAAGTATTAAGCACATAGTTGTTATATTATTTGAATACACATATATGTGCAGTGGTTACAACTCCAGTGTCAAATTAACTCTCAATCCCTTTTAATAAAAGAATTCACAGTAACTGAGGAAGAGCTTACTGTAGTACCATAAAACTAGGGTGAGGCAAATTTCAATGAAGTTAGTATTTTGGATATAACAAGTACATGTACCTTTACAAATAGTCTTATTATCATCTCACTAGGACCAAAGGCCCAAGTGAGCACATTGTCAATGACTTTTTCTTTTTCTCAGTACAAACTGGAAGTCTGGACATGAAATTTAAGGATATCATTATACGAGAACTGATGTTTGTTCATTAAATACCATTAACATCTGAAAAGGACAATATATGAAATTGAACAATTGTCTTCTCCAAAAATGTTTTAGGAGGATATTTACCATTAAAGTAACCCAGAATATTACAACAGCTACCTGTAATGCACAGGCTAACATTTTTTACCAGAAGTAAGTCATGAAAAAAATTTGCATCCGGATACCTTCCGGAAACCTTCCAGATGCCTTCAGCAACCTTCAAATTTCTTGGTATTTTCAAGTTAATTTTTTATGTGTTTCACACTTAAGTGAACAAAATGCACCCCCCAAATTTTGACATTTTTTTGGTAAGGTTTCCGGAAGGTATCCGGGCCGGATCCAAAATGGGTAGGTATCCGGAAGGTTTCCGGAAGATGGAAACCTACACTTTTTTTGCTGTGGTACTATAGGTTCCCGTGTCCTTTTCAGGTGCCTTGCCTTTGCATGTGACTACTACCGACGGTGGGGCAGGATTTCTCGTTCACCTGTATCCTCACTAATTGAAAGTGATTCATAAACACATTCTCATGATATAATGAGATTCATATTATCGACTGGCAGATGCGATTGGCAGATATCAGTTAAATTTTAGATGTGGGAATCTTTAAGAACCACCAACCCATCAATTATTTCTTATTTTTCTTTGGATTGTCCGACATTATTACAATCAGATTAATTATGTATGTGGGAAACTATGAAAACCACTAGCCCATAAATTATTTCTTATTTTACCTTGGATGTCCTACGCCATAACAGTGATGTACATTAGCAAATAGATGAATTAAACACGTGGGAAACTATCAGAACCACCAACCTATCAATAATTTCTTATTGTAATGTAGATTTTCAAATATCATTAATTTGAAGCAAATCAAGGAAATGGTGATTCACAACTATAATGACATTCCTCTAATTTCTGTTTATAACATTTCCTAGAGTAACTAATCATTTATTGAGTATTTCTTATCATAAGTAACACCATTTGTATCTTCATACTGTTGTAAAGTAGAGTTTATTTGTTTTTTGAACCATCTCCACCTATTCTTCATCGTGTAGCAGGGTGCTTAACTAAAAAAAAAAGATAAAGTTAAAGAAATTATCATGGGAAACTAATGAGTGACCAGAATCGAAACTTGTCTGTCTTGCTAATGGGGTGCATCAGGTTATGTGACACTTAACACAAATCAAAACAAGATTGCTTAAGAGGAGTTGGCTGCCGCCAAGTGAAACGTCTTTCATGTGGATGAGACTCCCTTCTGGGATCCTTTATATCTAAATAATCTATAATTTCAGTGAGATATTTTTTACCTTTTTCCAGTTTCCAATCACCAAACATGATAATTTTCTGACTGTCCAAGTTTTCTACGATTTATTTTATGGTCTTAACGAATTCTAGCTTGTCTTCATTCGGTCCATACAAATTAATTTGTGTGTAGACAAAATTATTTGTTGTAACATTAATGCTACATAATTACCTTCCTCTTGATCTACCATTGTATGTGTAATCTCTTGCATAACTTTAAGTTATTTCTAGATAAACAACATCGCACTATATCTGATGAGATATTATAGATATCGCTCACGCAATCCAGTGATTGATATCATGAGTATCGATCCCCGCAATTGGGATCGATGACATGCATCAACCAAGTCAGCGAGCCTGACCACCCGATCCCGTTAGTCGCCTTTTACGACAAGCATAGTCACCTTTTACGGCAAGCATCGGTTGCTGAAGACCTATTCTACCCCGGAATATTCAACCTGAAAGTCCTTCAACTCTACTAAGAGCCATTCCACTTAAGGATGAAAAATGCAATAGTGGTCGGACATAATCTTTCTTATTACATTACCAGAAGTTAAGGCGGGGCATTATTAGACAGCTCCAAGTATCTGTGTGGGATGTAAAACATAAACATAGATTTTAAAATCCATCAGAAAACACTCGACCCTTGGAAACGGCAAGAAACAAATGTCCCAACATCACTGAAGTCACAGCTTATCAAACTTGATGAAATATATTTCTTCTGGGCCACAAGTACCTCATTTATTTCATAGGCTGGCTTTGAATTCATGAAATCTTGAAATTGACAGGTCAAATCATGCATAGTTCTCCTGTCAACATAGCCGGCTTGTCTGCAGTCTTCAGTCATACTCCATTCAATTAATAATCTCATACAAGCATGCTCACTCCCAGCAAATCTACAGGTGAATGTTGAACCACATCACATATTGCGGTAGTCATCTTGCTTCGTGTAGTGCTAGGTAAATAACAACATTGGCAGCCATTGATACCTGCCACATCCAAGTTCCGATGGAGAGGCATTTAGTTTTATTTATTTATTATTAAAGGGGGTAAATGACAACTGACTTATAAGACTTGCACGTGTTAAATATATTGTAGAATGTTGATTCATAAAGTTTGTCGGAAAAATACATTCGTTTAGCATTTTAAAACTACTTCTACAACCTGTCACCCCTACAATGGAAATTGCTTATGCATTTCCAAGGAATGACTTTTTGTACTGATTTCCAAGAAATAACTTGGTGAGTCGTAACTGCGAACAACAGGTTGCAATGAAATTAAAACATCTACGTGTTTTGGGCACTTTTATATATTTTAATATTGTAATATTTGCTTTATATATAACTACCCTTGACCACTTTCTAGAATGTTTTAAGATTGAGGACCTTTGTACCTCGTGTTGTTACACATTGCAAAAGAGCAACATTTTCCAAGCATTGTTGCCTGTCATGGTAGAATTGAATGGTTCAAAATGAAAATAAGAGGGGACTATATCAAATTACAAAACAGAGTAGGTTTTATCTCCAGCAATCATAGGTTTTAGCTTAAATTTGGCTTCTGAATTCAGTAGTGTTTTCATTGATTTGAGGATAGTACCTGAGAGAGCTACCCTTTGTAGTCTAGGGGATGCTCCAGTAGACCTCCTCGAGGTATTTCTTGACCTGAGGTTTATGCTGCTTCTGGATTTTGTCTACAACAAATAAGTGAAAATAAACATCAAATGGAGAAGGAGAGCGATTCTCGAATTAAGTTGAATAAAAAGCATCAAAGAGCTGTGAATGATCTTGATGGAGTTGACACTGCACTTTTTGTAACTGGCATGGTTTATGGTGTAGCTGGTGTTGTTTGTGTGTCAACTAGTATAGCTTTTTGTACTTGGTATGAAAGAAGGGGCGGAAGTCTCACCAGGGGCAAAAGAAAGCATTAAAATATGATATCATTCATTTGATGAGACCGCCTACGTGGTCTAATGGTAGAGCATCCGCCCAGAGAGCGGAATGTCCGGGGTTCAATCCCCGGCCGCATCATACCAAAAGAGGTGAGGTGAAATTGGGTTTAACGTCGCGTCCAAGATTATTGCACTTATATAGCGACGTGCATGCACGTGTGTGTGGCTGCTTGTACTAGTCCGGACTGATGCCGATT